TAAAAAAATAGAAGTATAAAAATATAACGATATAATGATATAAGAAACATATAAATATAAATAATAAATAAATGAATAGAAAAAAATAGGTTCTGATGTTAAAGAAAAGGGGTGTTAGTTGAATGTATCGTGTTTGTGGATCCATTTCCGTGGAAGATTGGCAATACTGGTACTTGTTTGCGGAGGGTTTTGTCTCTCTGTTTGTCTATGTGTATCCTTCCTTCTCTTTCTCATTTATATTTGAGATCTCCTTCATTCTCTCTCTTTGAGATTTTTTTTTCCATATTGTTAATTCTCTCTCTCTCTCTATCTATCTATCTATCTATCTATCTATCTATCTATCTATCTCTCTCTCTCTCTCTATCTATCTTTCTCTCTCTCTCTCTTTCATCTGAGATTAATCTTTTATTCCCATGTCACTAACTCTCTCTCTTTCTCTCTCTCTCTCTCTCTCTCTCTCTCTCTCTCTCTCTCTCTCTCTCTCTCTCTCTCTCTCTCTCTCTCTCTCTCTCTCTCTCTCTCTTTTATTCTTAATATTTTCCACCTATATAACTCTTCCTTCTCCCCGCCCCTCCATCCCTCCCAAAACACGGAACGCCTTTCATGGATGATCATTAACATATCATTTTCAATAAATTACTTTCAGACTTCATAAACAACCTAGCATCCTTGACCTTGAGATCGGCCCTCTTTTTTGCATTTTTTGTAATGTATGAATTTTCCAAACTCTTGTCGATAATTAGCAAGATTAATGAGATTTTGAAATATTGCAAAAAAAAAAAAAAAAAAAAAAAAAAAAAAAAAAAAGTGGGGACTAATTCATAGGTATTTGAACACGTTATGTAATATTTTGTTTTTCTCTTCCAGTCTTATTATTTGTTTGCTTATCTATATATTTATCGAATTGGTTGTATAACTGAAACATAGAAAATCGCTTTATCATTTTCATTATGAAAGAAAAGAGGATTACTATAAAAGATATATAGCAGTTATATAATATCGTTTCACAATATTGCAACTGCTAATGGGAGGAGAGTGGGAGAGAAAGAGAGAGAGAGAGAGAGAGAGAGAGAGAGAGAGAGAGAGAGAGAGAGAGAGAGAGAGAGAGAGAGAGAGAGAGAGAGAGAGAGAGAGAGAGAGAGAGAGAGAGAGAGAGAGAGAGAGCAACCAGTTTCATATGTATACGATTAGAAACACAAAACTAACATATAGCAACACATAAACCATAATGAAACTTACACATTGTTTCGTCCCGGTAAATCTACGTCAAAATATACCAATAAAACATTTTTACTTGTTGCACTATATACAAAACTCTCCTTCTGAGAAGCAATATCAACATCACAAGCAATCGTCTTGCCTGTGTTAACATAGATATCATTTATCATGCTTGATTGCCTTCCGTCCTGACGAGAAGATTCCCTCACGATAACAACATCAGTTTAGCTGTGTTTGAGAAGCAGAAATGGCAGTCGATCAGACCTTCTTTCTGCAGGAATAGGAAAAAGACAGATCATTTTCTGTTTCTTTGTTTATCTTTCTGTCTCCTTCTCTCTCTCTTTACCTGTCTGTCTCTGTCTCTCTGTCTGTCTCTGTCTCTCTGTCTGTCTGTCTGTCTCTCTGTCTGTCTCTCTCTCTCTCTCTCTCTCTCTCTCTCTCTCTCTCTCTCTCTCTCTCTCTCTCTCTCTCTCTCTCTCTCTCTCTCTCTCTCTCTTTCTCTCTTTCTTTCTTTCTCTCTCTCTATCTATCTACCTATCTATCTATCTATCTATCTATCTATCTATCTATCTATCTATCTATCCATCTATTATTTTATCAATCAGCGTATCTGTCTAACTATCTGTCTATCTATCTATCTTTCTAGCTATTAATTTATCAATTTAACTGTTTCTATCTATAGCTATCTGACTATCTGTCAAGTTATTCGTCTCTATCTTTCTCTACCTATCAATT